ACGGTACAGCAGAATGCGTAGGCTTTGTGACTTGATTACAAATCAAACAATCAACAAAAAAAAAAAAATTAATCTATCTAAATATAAATTGCTATTTCATGGTTTAATTCTAGAACATAACTTTAAGAGGAGTTGTCTTTGTGTAATCAAGTATTAACTGTTATTTATTTAAAGTAGCTACATTTGTTAACATTTTATGTGAAAAACTTTAAGGTTGTTCTTTATGCACACGTATAGGAGATATCCTGAGAGATAAAGCCTAAATTCGGGTTGATTTAGCATGGAAAAGAAAACAACATTTTGAAATTTTACCCGATAGCAAACAATTAATGAATAACCTTAAACCCAGCACAAAAGGTAGTCTAAAAATTATCTCAGTATCTACTTAAGTTTTCACATTATTTTACATAATAGTAAATAAATGTCTATGTACTACATCAATGTGAAATTTCATAGCTTAATGTTTGAATCCACTTTAATAATCATTTTGTTAAATTCTCTTGAAAATGATTTAGGTGGATCGCCCTTTAATTACATGGGCGGTCAAAGGCAGGAGATCCGAAAAATAAAAAGGATGATGTCATATTAAATGATGCTCAGGAACCTCCGAAAAAAAGACTTGTACTTTACTTTTATTTTGAGAGAGAATACGTTTTTTTGTAGGTGCATATCTTCATTTATAAATGTCTTATATGAATTCTAGGCTTCCTGGTTGCATCATAATAGTCATTTTAATTCTGGAAAACTTACTGATGATAAAGGAGAACTATTTTTACATCAGTATGTAATAATTATGATTATTAATGGTAATGATATGAGTGTAAGTGTATATCATGTTAAAATTGACTACATTCTCGGCGAAAACGTTGTCTTTCGTTAAAGTTGTTACTCAATAGTTAGCACTTTTAACAACTTACACGTAAACGTTTAAATACTTCTCAAAATCTACTCTATTTCCCAAACTATACTTCTATATTTGAAACTTTTACCGCGTTTTACTTTGGCAACGGGGGAATAGCCCAGTGCTTTCATATAGCTGAAAGTTCAGATAAATCCTCCAATGAATTAGTCAAAATCACTAATGTCATCAAATAATAAGTAAATACGAATGTATCATTAGGAAAGAGGGGATTGAAGAAACTATAACAGGATGTTTATCTTCTCTTTCTATAGGCCTCTAAGGTATTGTTTGTTTGTATTTAAGCACAAAGCTACACAATGGGCTATCGGTGCTCTGCCCGCTACGGGTAGCGATGCCCGGTTTCTACCGTTGTAATTCCGCATATATACCGCTGAGCCACTGGGAAGGAGGGGGGGGGTGCTTCTAAAGTAGCTTAAAATAATGCTGAATTAAGTGATTCAGAAGGAAAATTTCTTAAAATAACTTTCACGGCAATATTAAAATAGTAATGAATTAAAAATGGTTCGTTTTAACGTATTAGCATGAATTGTTTCAAGTAATCATACAAGTCTTATTTACTTATTTATCTGTTAAGAAAAATTTATTTATTTAGAACTAGAAAGCGAAGCACATAAAATAGAATTCATGAAGCATGTAAGGATAATTTATCAGTTATTCAAGACGTTTACAGCGAAAGTTATAGACAAGTCTTGTAAAAGAGAAAGAATAGATATGCTAATATGCGACTTTGAAAAGAAAATGAAGCGTTTTCATGCCATTTGAATAACTTTATTAATAGTTTTGTAATTAGTATATTTGTGCTCATTGGTACTTATTAAGTCATGAAAAGCAAAGTGCTTGTGGTACTGATTGCAGTTTTCTGTTATCGAAGCCTTCTGGTGGGTTGAACAAATTAATGGAAACCTTTCTTGAAATATGCAGCTCTCAAAATGAAAACATATGTCAGAACAATCTGTGTGTAACTTGGATGGTAACTTGGATCAGTGTATAAGCATCATTTAAGAATTATAATTGTCTGTTTGTTATGGATTTCGCGCAAAGCTACACGAGGGCCGTCTTTAATATTGAATTGATAGACAAAAGGTTTATTTGTTATAGATTTCGCGCAAAGCTACACGAGGGCTATCTGCGCTAGCCGTCCCTAATTTAGAGGGAAGGCAGCTAGTCATCACCACCCACCGCCATTTCTTGGGCTACTCTTTTACCAACGAATAGTGGGATTGACCGTCACATTATAACGCCCCCACGGCTGAAAGGGCGAGCATGTTTGGTGTGACGGGGGCGAATTATAAATTGCCTATCTAGATATAAGTTGATATTCCTTGTTTTGGTTGAATTTTAGAAGAAAAAACTTTCAGTAAGATTTGTTTTTATACAATCATATTTGCTTAGAACAATTTCAGGTTTCTAAATATATATATATACATCTATGTATGAGCATCCAACTTGAAAATATTTTAACATGGAGCCCACATCTTGTCCTCTTTTTTTGTACAGTATTAGGCTTAACTAAATATTTAATTATTCTTATATCAAAAGAGATCAATCCATGCCAACAATTTTAAAAACAAACTATTAAACTTCCTGAATTATCATAAACTAAAAATAGCAGCTTAATACGTGAAAACAGTCGGCACTTTGTATTACGACATTAACATTAAAATGCGAGGTAGATTACGTCGGGAATGTTCAACTCAGATTTTGTTTCTTCAGATTTAATTGATTGCTACGTTAAATTTTCTAAAGGATTATCATAATCTAGCCTCACCTATAGTTTACATTTAAGTGTAAACTATAGTTTCAAACAATACTTACTATGTAGACGTAAAGACAAGTAGGACCATAACCATCGGATAGGCGGCCAGCTGTCTCTAGAACTGTTCTCAGCCTCGTCAGTTTGCTCCAATTCTCCTATGGAGTAAGAGGATATTCGAAAGACTCATTAGTAACACTAGAATATCGTAAAACGCTCCATTGCTACGACAGACATTAATTGATATACGTAGCTAGTACCTTTATATTTACTAACTCTTGTTTTCCTTCCATCTGTGTATTTTTTTTCTTGGTAAATATTTTGTGTTTATGACTTTACACTTACAGAGAATAACAGAATAAACCCAATAGTAGTTCAGCAATGATTTGTTTCTGTTTTGGTTAGAGGGTTTCTTCATGGAAACGTCAAGATTCTTAAGAACATACATTTAATTACAGGGTGGGGCAAAAGTGTTTAAACCGTCGATGCTATTCAGATGGTACTAAAATATCACAAGGACAATTCAAAACCAATTTAATTGTTGATTATTTCAAAATAAGAAGTCAAATATAAATTATGTTCTAAATAAAACAACTCTACAGTTCCATGCTGTACAAAGCCCACACTCTGAAGTTAACATGCACAAAAAAAAAGAATAAAAAATTGTACTGTACACCAAAATTCTAAGTATTAACGTAAATCATCTAGTTTTAATAACGGGAAAGTAGCCTAAGGAAAAAAAAACCTAAACATATTTAAAGAATATATGTGTGTTTATGTGCATATATGTTAATGTTTAACAGCTATTTCACATATACGTGTGAACTGGATGCAAAACAAAACTTTTACAAGTTCACACATGTACTCGCCAGCTGAAAAATGTATTGTTTGTAATCTCTCTGTGTAGTTCCTATCATATCTTTTTTTCCGAAGTTTTTCGGCATTCTCTTACACAAAGAACTACGTAGATAGCAAGTGAAGAAAGACGGGTGCATGACGAAGAAGAAAGCTTTCGTAACGAACACAAAAGACTGTAGATATAATGTACTTTTAGTCACGTAATCTTGCCTGCTTGTTCAAGTACATTCTGCTCAATTCTTTCGTTCTCTTCTCGTTTTCTGACTATTCTAAAAAAATAAAACTTTGAATATATCACATGTTAAGAGTTTGTTAGTTTTTTTTTTTCTGCCGTAGAATGTGTTTTATTTTATTTTACTTAAAAGCGCTGGTTGATAACTTGAAGAAGATTTTTCAAACACGCAATATAATGTGTATCATTGATCAACCACTTAGCAAAAGTTGCACCCTTGATATCTGGAAGCTTCTGGTGCATACGAGTTTAGTTGGTTCCCACCAGCCTTATATCTGTGTCCATGAACGATAAACAGTATATATATATATAATTACACTTGTCAATGAAGTATTCTCCAAGTTCATTTGTTTCTTTGTTTGTCGTTAAGCGCAAAGCTACACAATGGGCTACCTGTGCTTTGCCCTCCACGGGTATCGAAACGAGATTTTAGCGTCATAAGCCATTGGACTTACCGCTGAACAACAAGTTCATGAAAATGATTTCAACGTAACTGGGAGTAATTGTGATGCCCAGCGGTCTTATGAAATGAGCAGTTTTTAAAAAACCTGAAGTAACGTGAAAGTAAAACAGTTATTTATTCACACTCAGTGACAGACAGACAGAGAGATATAGTGGCTATGTTTAAGGTTCGCCAGTGTATGTTTGTATCTAAGTTAATTTCAGCTCTGCTAGTATCGTTGATGTCTTACGTTCAATTTATCCTTATAACTCATTCATTTCATTGCTATAACTGTGAGTCTTCTTATCGTATAAGCCCCCCTTGGATACAGATGTTCGCCTGAAATGAATTTAAAGGAAGATACGTGATTTTGAATGACTCTAATGTATTACAACATCTTAAATACTTCAGGTATACGCTATAAACTACACATATTTTCATAAAATGTGCATTGAAGTTAGTTCATTCATATATGTATTTCAATAGAGCTTATAAGAGTTCGGAATTGCTGAGAAAATCCACATCTAATCTAAAAATAATTCGCACTCCAAAGATTAACAGTGGTGGATGTTCTTCTCTGGAATACGTGTCATTTTGCATGCAACTACATTTGTTATAATTATTAAATACGCTGCCTTATCAATCGCATCAAGAGATATATAGTGATAAATGGAGGAAGGAGGAGGTTTTAGTTCACAATCCTAAAACAATATAGCACTACCTTTGGTGAGAATAAGTGCTGTTATTATGCTGATATTGTTTTAGAATGTGTTTCAATAAGCGCTGTTATTATGCTGATATTGTTCTAGAATGTGTTTCAATAAGTGCTGTTATTATGCTGATATTGTTCTAGAATGTGTTTCAATAAGTACTGTGATTATGCTGATATTGTTCTAGAATGTGTTTCAATAAGTGCTGATATTGTTCTAGAATGTGTTTCAATAAGTGCTAATATTGTTCTAGAATGTGTTTCAATAAATACTGTGATTATGCTGATATTGTTCTAGAATGTGTTTCAATAAGTGCTTGGTTCAAAGTTTTCAATGTTGTTTCATAGACTGGGTCAGTTGATAATGCCCGGAAGAATATAGTCTAACTTGTCAAATAGTCCTAAATATGTTCTTCATGGATCAAATTTAGGTGAGTTAGTTCAAGATTTTCCAATAGTGTGTGTGGCTTGTAGATACTTTGGGAAAGGGACAGCATGATTAACTGATGGAAGAAAACATTGGCCTCTTAGGCAAAAAATAATCTACACTCACATCCCAGAAAACAAACAAACAAAAAACAATTAACATGTCATGTTTCTTTTCCATTCATTATTGCCAGTTCAAGTTTTTCCCTTTGCTTCGTCCTAACTACACTGTTTCTTTCGAATCTTCATCATCATCGTATTGAGGATCCTTTTTTTTTACTCTTTATCAACGGCTTATCAAGTCCAGAATTCCTACCAAAATAAAGAGTGATAAGCTAAAAATATGCTTTAATCTATTGAGGCATGGGATTTCTTGAGTCATGATTAAATAATATGAAAGTGTTAAGAATGTGAAATATAACAATTAAAGTACATAAAGTGTGTCACACAGCCGGGAATGTCTAAAATAATCATCGTACGTGTAAATGTAATGATGTAGACAGCTTAGTTAAGAGGTTTTGTGTTAAGATCACACAGGTTTCTATGAATCGGCTTCAACCATCGTTGAGCTGAAGCTATGGGGCCATTCAATCTGTAATAAGAAAATTAAAGAGTAAATTAAACAACCAAAATCGTATATTCCCACAATACTGAATAATTTGACAAGGAATCGTAACACAAAATTGAATGGCTGACCTATTTGAAAAAAAAAAATACTAATTCAGAATCAGTAAATAATCGTTAAAATTATTTCATTAACTAAACAAGGCCCTAACAAATGAAGGTTCAACTAAACTTTAAAATTTGTTCAAAAAGATCATACCAGAAATATATCAAATTAAGAAAAATCCATATAATCTTAGGTCAAATATAAAAACTAGTAGAACAGAAATGACCTAACGCTGGGGCAAAAAAATCATATCTATAAAAACTATTGATAAAACAGCTAATCAACTAAAACAAGCAGATAATTGTATAGTGTCAAATATTTAGTAACTAGTATGTATACAGTAATGAAACAAATAAACATAACAAAACATATTTTGATCACAGTTTACTATAAAAAATTGCAAGAAAATGCGAATATACGTTAATGCCCAAATATCATACATTGACATTTATTATCTATCACTTGATCTTATTCAATTCGTAGTTTGATGCATCAGTACCACAATTCAAAAAAATAACTGATGTTTTATGGGCCTAGTGTCATAACGAATTTTCTAGGCTACACTACGAAAGCAGGCCCTACATCAGTGCTGAACACATTATTTCAATGTCATATGTATAGCGAAAACAGCAAATTATGAATTCCTAACTCGTTTCTAACTGTCTGGGGGGCAAAGTTCGTCAAAAGACTTAAAAACTTTTAGAGAACGTTTCTCCACAAATTTTGAATCACAACTCACTCGTATATGTTTTAAACTAACTAAATATGAGTCACGTTATTTAATGAGTTATGTATGGCAATATTAATAATGTTAATTAAGCCACGATAAATGCCAAGACAGTCATAATAAAATGCCTCAACACAAAGATTACAACTTACAATTGAATAACTTTGCACATATCAATTTAATAAGTCATGTTCTAATACGTGTTACGTCATATGACAAAACTTGTTTTTATCATAAGTTAAACTTTGACCTTGAGCTGACAGATGAAATTTACCAACAGTATAATAGTGGAGTAAAACATTTTTTTTAACACATTGTGTTTTAATCTCTATATATATGTCTCGACAATTATATAATGCAAATTAAGCCTAAAACAGAAGGTAAGAGTTAAATTTATATCACGTTGTTTATACCCTAACAATAGCCATTTAGTGGTTGTTGCTGTAATTTTCAGTGGATCAGCGGTAAGTCCACGGGCTTACAATGCTAACATCTAGGGTTCGATTCAGCGAGGCGGAGAAAGTGCACATAGCCTATTATGTAGCTCTGTGCTAAAACAAATCAATAATATTTGAGATAATTAGTGACTAAATATCGTGCAATTGCCTATTCAGTTCCCATTTATAGGCATAACCTTGATGCTTCATATCCTTTACATTTATGGTTCGTAAAAATGCTATAAATATTTAATCAATAACTTTAATGAAGACTGTACTAATAAGTCTTCCACCTCATCACTATAAGCACAACTTAGTAAACTACTACTGATAACAAGGTCAAAGTCCCCTGCACTCAAACCACAGTTTTAGTGCTACTCCTGCCACCTCTGTAGTGGAATATATAATATATTTTAAAGGTTTGTCAAAATGATACTGAATAATAATTACTGTTGCAATATTCAAAAATTTTTATAGCTAAAGAAAGCACTACATACTTTTGTACCAACGTTTTTGTTGCAGTTTCGATATGAAAAACATTTTAACGTGTACTCACTCTCTGTATGCTCAGTATTATCACCATTGATTAGAGCAATGTATATTCAGTGAAAAAAATATGTCTTTTGTAACGGGTACGTGATGGAAAATATGTTTTCT